CAAAAATTACATCTAGTGGATATTCACCATGGTTTGCGTTCGCGCCTAGACTTTGATATATTTTGTGGATGTCCATAGGATATTGAATACACCTTAAAAAAATTAATTTTAAATATCTGAACGGTACTATTAGCCACAATGGCGTAATTTTTTCATAATTTGCTATATAATTACTATTATTTATGGACATTTGAATGTCTATAAATTACATCTCATGGATATAAAATAGATATCCACCATGGACTGGACATTCAGTGGATATTGGGATGTCCAGTAGATATCGAAAGGATTTGGTGTGCTGTCTGGGTTAATGTTATCAGTTGTATAGTTATTGTGAAAGTTGAGTTGAAATAAATTGAGATACCAAAAACCTGCGAAACATTGGTGTCAGCGGTGGGATATAAAATAAAAGGTACTCGAGCATTCTATTCATGGTAAATACTAGGTCCACAGATATGGATCGATACTTCCAGCCCACCAGCATGGTTTTTGAAGATGGAAGAGGAGAGAAAGAGGCGAGAAGAGAAAAAGGAAAGACGCAGGGAGGAAGAAGAGAAGGAAAAGGAAAGGCGTAGGAAGGAAGAAGAGAAGGAAAAGGAAAGGCGTAGAAAGGAAGAAGAAGAAGAAGAAGAAGAGAAGAGGGAAGGGCAAAAAGAGAAGTAGAAGAGGCATAGAAAAGCAAAGGTGGTGATTATAAATGGCTTGCTTCAAATTAAAAAAACCTTAAGCAACCGGTAGATCAAGTGAACAGTCGAATAGATCTCTTAGCACAACAGCAAGAGAATTTAAAAACTAATTTAAAACAACAAGAAACGGCTAGAATATAATTAGAAAGGTAAATTGAAACTGAACTAGTTGAATTAGAAAGGAGAATTCGCAGCCTAGCTTTGGCAAGCAACAGAGAAACTGCAAACACTACCTCGTCCTCATCTATAACCGAACCAAACCATATCCAAAACACAGTTTCAAAAAGCCATACTAGCAAGATCATTAAGCCACCCACGCGTTTGACGGTCAGACATTATGGGATAGCTGGAAACAATATTGCTCCAGTCTTAACAAATCTACTTCAATGAAAGATATTTGGAAGAAAGTAAATAAATACAAAAATAGGAAAATAAATAATACCGTACAAATAGACATAAATGAATCGACCTGGTTAACAGAATTCCATAATAACTTGACTCCTCCATATGTTCATAGAACTCCATCATTAGAAAATATTGCAAAACAAACAGTGACCGATTATTTAAACCAACCCTTTTCTTATCATGAAATTTGTCTTGCCCTCAAAAATCCAAAAAATACAGCACCGGGTCATGATACAATACACTATGTTATGCTGAATAAATTACCACAGAATGCAAAATTATCTCTTCTCAACATATTTAATAATATATGGACAAGAAAAATAACAATTCCTAAAGAATGGTACGAATACATTATTATCCCTGTACTAAAACCTGGGAAAAGATCAGATCAAGCTGAATCATATAGACCAATTGCTCTTGCTTCTTGTATATTTAAGACGTATGAAAAAATAATAAAACTCAGACTGGAATATTATTTAGAAAATAACAACTTACTTTCATCTACTCAATTTGGATTTCGCAAAAATATTTCAACTCAGGATAGTATAGCAAATATAGTAACAGATATTCAACTGCGTTTATCAAAAAATGAATCTACAAGTGCTCTATTTCTAGACATGAAAGGTGCTTATGACAATGTAAATTTAAATATTTTAAAAAAAAAAACAAAAATAAAAAAAAACAAAAATAAAAAAAACAAAAATAAACAAAATATTTAAACCATATTAAGTTCAGGTTATTTTAGTTATTAAGGTAGAGCAACTTTAATATAATTGTAAAATAATAAAGTTTGTTATATAATATTTTTATTTGTTCACCTGACAATTGACTGGCCTGTTGGTTTATATCCAGTGCCACTAACTTAGTTAAAAAAAAATTATGGGAAACGTATCGACTACAATTAGAAGCTGCAGCTAGAGCCAATGGCTGGATCTAAAAGATGGCGGCCTCATTAATAGTGTCGCTGCGAGGTCAGGTAGCAACCGTTCTACAGTTACTTCCCCAAGAAGAACCCAGTTATTCATCTCTCGTCCAAGCTTTGGAGAAGATATGAACAGTAGCATTTGAAATGGGTCTTTCAAAGCCAGCTAAAGGTTTGTAGTCAGAAATATAATGAGAGTCGACAGGAATTCGAGGCCGACAAGATTGATTCGTCTGGCCTAGGCACTGACGCCCAAAGATTTCCAAGAACAAATCGGATTACAGGCATTAATTGATGGACTACAAGATGTGGAAATGCAGCAAACTCTTCGTCCACAACATCACAAGACGCTGAGGGAGAAACTGATTGCAGCCCAGGAATATGAAGCGGTAAAACTCCTATCTAGCGCAAAAGTGAGAGAAACTAAATCCCAGGAAACTAAGGAAGTCAATACTAATACTATTCTCCAACTTACCCTCTCACAAATCTTAAATACCGTGCAAAATATGCAACGAAACAGCCAAAATGGAAGCAGGAGATGCTTTAATTGCAGAGCAATAGGACACCTTTAAAGGACCTGCCTAAGTAAGACTCGCTCTAAAAATCAAGAATCAGGGAATAAAGCCAGAAAGTCACATTTATCAAATGACATTCCACGTCAAGAAAAATCTGGACAGTTCGAGAAGGGTCAAGCAAGTTATATAAGTCGATGATCCTGACGTCAGTTGGCAGTTTTATGATAGACGTTATACGTTAATGTTATCAGTTGTATAGTTATTGTAAAAGTTGAGTTGAAATAAATTGAGATACCAAAAACATGCGTTGTTATGCTGGTTTTTGATATCACAATTTATTTCAACACAACTTTAACAACAATTATACAACTGATAACATTAACAAGTAACGTCTATCATAAAACTGAAAACTGACGGCAGGATCATCCTTATATAGCATGCTTGACCCTTCTCGAACCTTCTCGAACTGTCATCTATATTAGGTCTTTTCCTTTGCATCGAAAGTGTAGCACTGGGCTATACCAATTCTGAAAATATCGTCCCATATATACAAATTGTATGGATGGAACGATATTTTCAGAAGTGACGTAGCTTAGTGCTACACTTTCGATGCAAAGGAAAAGACCTAATATTAGGCATTTCAACGACCTGTCCAAATGGCTACCAGTGGGGACTGACAGTTTAGATATGACAACCCTGTTGTTATGAGGTCTTTTCCTTTGCATCGAAAGTGTAGCACTGAGCTACACCACTTCTGAAAATATCGTTCCATTTATACAAATTGTATGGATGGAACGATATTTTCAGAAATGACGTAGTTCAGTGCTACACTGTGGATGCAAAGGAAAATACCTATTTTGTCATTAACAGGTTCAATGATACATTTATAGTTATATAGATTGCTCACAGCTGGTCGTTTGCGAGCGGCCATATTGCCTGGCAAATATTTATTAATTTAAATCGGTTTAGCAAAAATGTGTTTTAAAACCAATTTTCAGCCTTTAGATATTTAAAAAATAATAATTTCTTACATTTTTATTTCAAGGCATAAGCTTGTGTTTATTTTGAAAAATATGGATGATCAATCTATGTAACTATTTATTTCATTGACCTTGTCAAATCACCAGGCCTACAGGGTTGCCATAATTTTGCCATATCATAACCTGTCAAACCCACTGGTAGACATTCAGTTTGGAATGCCCACATATGTGGCCCACATACTTTGATTACTATAGGCGAGTTCGGATAGTCAGGGGCTGGAGCGGGACAAATTTTAGGGTGCTTTTAAATGACATTTAAGCGTGTTAAACTGTCACTAATCGGACTAAACCGAACGCTAAAAGGGTCGTTTGGAGTTAAAAGTGTTAATAGAGTTAAAGGAACTTGGCATACCGAACGCAATGTGTACGGGGCAAGAGAGAGGTCCGACACGCCCAACATAGGGCGTGGCCATTTTGAACCCTATGACACAGTTTATAGCTAAAGAATCAGATCGCTCACTCTGCGTCGGCACTTTTTATCTCAATGTTCCAGTTTATACACTGCGCAACTCAGATAATACAATATATGACAACCTGACAACCGCCTATAATAAAACAGCAGTCTTCTGCGTATCCTGAATTTGTATCCCTGAAGTGGATGTTATTTTGGAACTTTCAACTGGTCCGAGTGAGCTAACTGATTCTTTAGCAATAAACTGTGACTACAAAAATAATATTCACTGACACCACATACTTTGATTTTCTTTTACTGACACTGACAGCAGCAAGCAAAATATCAGGTGCGTTTTAATCATTCGCTTCTGCTTCCGGAATTCTCGGTTCAGTCATTCTAACCTGTCAGATTAAAACAAGAAAACCGACAATTCCGAAGCAGAAGCGGATGATTAAAACGCACCTATTAAAAATATTGCGCCAAGATGTAGGCAACACGTAATAAGGGTTCAAAATGGCGGAGTTTTCTATCTCCTTTTAAAAGGCACTCAGAAAGCTGCGCAGTGCGACCATTCTCCGTATAGTAAAATAAAATCAAAGTATGTGGGAATGCCTAATTCTTGACGGGTAATGACATTTCCAGACATTTCTGGACTATTCTATCTTCTTTTACTTGTACTTATACTTATGCCGACCGCAGCATACTGTAGGGCAACTTCTTTTTCTATCTGTACGTTTCCTATAATAGCCGCAGGCTAGCAGGGTGCTGCGTAACAATATATTAAGGCGTAAATGAAATAATAACAGTTAAAGAACTGATATTTAAGTCTATAAACGACTGATATGTGATACAGTGAGCAAGGATATGCTTTTCGAGCCAGTATGAAATCCTGAATATATTATTATTTTTGTTATTATTATTATTGGTACAGGTAGAGAACAAGATTTTGGGTGAATTTTACTATGAAAACCAAATACCTACTCCCAACTTGAATAACCCATAGCTTTACAGAGTTAGAAATTGAAATAAAAATACATTTTCATTACTATATTGCACATTTTTAATACTAAACAAAAGAAGAGTCAAAAAATTGAAAAGCACACTTTAAATAATATTTTCTACTATATAAAAGCATTTACAAATAGTCTACGCTCACGTCGCTTCTTCTTCCTCTTGGAGTATCCTCTTGAAGCTGAACGGCTGGAACACATACCCCACTCCGGCGTAGAATTTGCTCATGAACTCCACCCAATGCAGACGAAGCGTGTGCAAGAAAGCCGACAAACCCTCCATGAGCACCAGAATGGCCACGGTGAATAAAGCCCATGCGCCGAATACCAAGAAAATCATTACGACTCCCACCGGGCCTCCCATCTTCAATGCTAGCTTTGAGAACAACATGCTCCACAATACTTCTGATAATTCTGTAAAAAAAACATTAAATTCGAAACAAACTTAAGTAAGTTGGAATTTAAGGTAACTAATAGCTATTAGTGATGGGTCGCTTGGAAAAGTCCACGTACAAGTTCGACAGACTAGTCCGAAAAATTGACTAGTCCAAACACATATTAAATTCACTAATTTGACTGAATTTCTTACAAAGGCAAAATATATTTTAAAAAAGAAGAAACGACAAATGATTACTAACTTTTATATATTTTAGGATCGATTCCACCGATTCCACCGTTGTGTTAAACGAAGTTTAAAGTGACATTTTTACATTAACAATGTCATTTTAATCTCCGTTTAACACAACGGTGGAATCGGTCCTTAACCACATAATTTGATTTTCTTTTTTAACATTCAGGGCCGGTTTTTCATGTCCAGTCAAAGTGGCTGTTACGTAGCCGACAGCTATATCATAGCTGGCAGTCAAAGTCCCTATTACTGATGGAACATGGATGGAACTGTTTATCGTCACGAATTTAACTGCTAGCTATCTAGTCTAATATTTTTTTATTTATTTTTAAACAGGTTGGCAATTCTGCTAATTTATTAAATGCTTTTTATTGTATAATTTAAATTTGCCGCTTTACATATCGTGTCTTGTGTTGATAGTTACCGACCTTCACATAAAAATTGTTCTATTTTGCTTCCATTTTCTGTTTTTGTGCAATTGATTTAGAAATTAAAAAAAAATGCCTAATTTCGCGGCATCAGATAGTGTGTCAGTCAGAATAGCTGACGGCTATCATATGACTGGAGGTCGATAAACGTTTTGGCAGGCAGTGGCTGACGGCTATCTCCGTAGCTGCCCTAAACCTTCTATAAAATAGTAATTTCTATTACGTTTTCCATATTATGTACTATTATAAACAACAAAAAAGATTAACTGTAATTTAAAATTTTTAAAATGAGGTTAGCAATGGCTGCGTTCATCCGCGCCATTTCAAGGAGCGCTACAAAAGTAGCGATCACTTACGCTACCTAATCGATCTTTATGCACGGATGAACCATGTTTAAAAGTGACATTTGATTTTGGTTTATTCATTTTACTTTTGAGTTGAATGTCTCTGGTTGAAGATTTGTTTGTTTATTTTTCAATTGCTAATATGCTAATATAACCCTACTAGTCACCAAGCAAACCGTGGACGTAAGTGCGTAAGACAGATCAGTGATCACCGATCAGACGTAAATAAAATGCGCTACTTTTAATGGCGGCCGCTCCTTGAGCGAAATGTCAAAATACACCGTTCATACGTGCCACTCGAGAGCGCTACCAGATCGATCAGGTAGCATGTGGCGCGGATGAACGCAGCCAATATGTATAAGGACAAGGACTCTAATGTCAAAATTTCTGGTTTGCAATAAGTCTTATAATCGAATTAAATTACGGGTTTTGAGCTTACATTAAATTGTAATTAGATGAAACAAAATGGATTCTATGTATTTTGAGGTGATCTTTTCGAAAAAAGGCAAAACAAAATGTAGCAGTTTTTCGAAAATGCCGAAATTTTGGATTTTGTCAATTTCTCAATTTTGCGCAGGCGCATGTCGGAAATAAATCAATATTTTTAAAACGCAGTTTACGACATTTGAAAGATTAGGAAAAAGGATAATTTTTATGTCTCTAGAGAAATTTTGATCCAATGCACCGTTCTCGCGGTATGGACGATTGAAATTTGTTTAGTATTTTGAGGCGACGAAGGTCGAAAAATTGAATTTGTTAAATGTTCAGACACTAAATTCTTCATAACATTGGTAAAAATTAAGATATTTGAAAAAACAAAAATGCGTTTTGAACATAAGGGATGTGACTAGTGATTCCCAGAAGGGAGCAAGAGAAATCCCAAAATTGGGCATATGGCGGAAGGGCAAAGTGTACCGCGGTCCTAATTTCATTGTTTGCCTATAACGGCCAAACTATTTGAATTTTTTTAATGCCACTTACAAAGCTTACTTTTAAATGTGAAATCTTATGTGTGTGTGAATTTCATCGACATCGGACCATAATTGGCTAAGATATCAAACAATTAAAGAACTTTTTTCCTTAAAAAAAAACAATTTTTTTTTCGAAAGTTTGAAGTGGCACAAAAATGCCAAAAATGCACCCAATGGCTCAAAACTTTTTTTAAGTACTCTATTGTGTCTAGAATACGATTACATTACGGAAAATTCTGCAAATATATTTTATCTATTTTTTTGACCACTGTTCATTGAGTGACGACCAAAAAACACGGTTTTTGAGAAAAGTTGCCTAAAATTGACAATTTTTAGTTTTTTAGTCTGAAAATTAGGCAAACCCAAATTTCATGTCTTCTAAATGTGTATACAACCTTCAAACTGTCATATTTTTACAAATTGAATCGCTTGATAGTGTTCATCGGCATAGATTTTTAATAACCGCGTTCAGCAAGCTCTGTGTACACGTGGCTTTTCGAACTTCTTCAGAAATTTATTAAGTACGTTCCTAAATTAAGAAAATTCTATCACAGTGCTATATTTTTTTTGTTTCTAGGTTGCAATGGCTGGCCTGTGTTTATTATGTCATCAGACACTTGCAGAGGGTGAACTATTGCAGATTTGCAATGCGACCTATGACATTCGAAATATAACCGAAAACTACGCATTTTTTGTGCTTAGAAAATTGCTCGTAAAACGAGTGGTTTTTTCTTAAATCCAACATTTTCCCTTTTTTTTTAAGAAAAAACAAGCACACTGTCGATTTTTTCCGTAATTTGGGCACTTTACAGACTGAAAATATGTTAGAATCAGTAAGTTTAATGAGAAACAAGCTTACTTTCTCTCCCAATTGCCAGAAAATTCGAGTATCTTCAATTCTCGCGGGAATTACCGATCTTTGCACACGTGCGCTCAGAAAACAGTGGATGCTAGAAAAAATGTATATGCCACAGTTTTTCGTGTCTTTTTTTTTTCTCTATCATCTGACGGAAACAGTTTTCTATTCAGATAATTAGTTTTCGAGTTAATTAAGAAAAAAGTACGAGAAATTAAGAAAAAAATTGTTTTGCAATTTTTTTCAAAAATTTCTGATCGTAACTAGAAAATACGTATTTTTGTCATGCATATATATCTTCTCCCATTTCAAGTTTTCTTGTAAATAACTAAAAACCAGATATTAGAGAACAAAAAGCAAGCTTATCACCAAGTTGGAACTTACACTCAGGCTTAGGATTAATTTCCTAACATTTTTAAAGTATACCTTTTTGTGTATTTTTTTGTGCTCTTTTCGATGGCGAAGTTAGTTTTTTCAAATATATTTTTTTGTTAGATGTTTTCGGAAAACCCGGAAAAAATCATATTGGAAAAAAATTTAAAAAAAAACTACGCCTTCCGGTTTCCTGCGAATTCCCGAAAAATTATGGCAGATTTCGCCGCGGGACTTATTTTATTTGAGAGCCAACAAAAAAATACGCAACTTCTCTCATGGGCACATATGTCTAACATTTATAATTTCGCCACAAATTCATCGCAAATTTCATGTCCATGGTTCTGATTAAAAAAAACGAAAAAACGACTTTTTGGTAAAAGCACTTCTGGCGGCGAGAAATTCGCCATTAAAACTACCTGTGCAATGAGTTTCCGAACTATTTTTGCCTCCTATTTCGAATGGTGCATTTATTTTCACTATCGGAATGATACTTGCCCAGATAATTAGCATTTTTACAATGAAAAATTCCGGAAAACCCGGTTTTTCCTAATTTAAAAAAAATTGAAAAACTGCTACATCTTTTTTTCGGAAAGATCACATCAAAATACACAAGGTCCTTTTTGTTTCATCCAATTACAAATTAATGTAAGCTCGAAGGGGCTTTTTTTCGTTATTTAATTGGACTATTATTTTAGCATGGAGTATATTTGACTCTAATTACGTTGTCACTATTAGTGACTGACGTTATAGAAATTAAAGAAATATTGCAAATTTCTATAACGTCAAATAAAAATCGATAAAAGATCATGGCTAGGAATACAGTAGCGATGTAAAACTCGGGGTTGTAATAGGTAAACATAGCTTTAAAATAAGATATTATTCGACCCCTTTCCATCTAAGATTTTAGAGGTGGGTCTCACCACCGCTAGAGGGTTTCCATTTAAGAGCGAAACTGGCAAAAAAATGTTTTTCCCTAATATCAAAAATTGACGGGTTCGAGCGTTTTTTCGTAAATTACCTGGAGTACCCAAAATTGGCTTTGCTTCGTTTTCAAATGACCATCCTGTATATATTTGGTGTGGTCTATTTAGTCTATAACGCACCATATCTTTTAAATACTAATAAAGTACTATAAAATAGCGTATAGGAGACAGATTATTTGAATATGCAATTCTATTCAAGGTTGTTATTTGGTAATTTGTTGTAGTCAGCGGTTTAACAAATAGTAAAAACTTTAAATCCTACAAGTTTACAAAAGTGAGTATAAATGTAGATAATTTTGTAGCAAATAAAAGAGATCTATACCATATACCGTTTTTTGTCATATCATCAATATTTCGCGAGATATATTAAAAAATTAGTCAATTATGGGACTATTTATGGAAAAAAGTAGGTACTCACGGGCGTGCGCAAGAGACAAAGCCCACAGACGCAAATAAGAAGCAGTGTGAGAAATCGTACTAAGGGTGTACTCGATGGTATGAATAGCCGAATGGATGAAAATTTCACTTATCGGCTCTTCTTCTTCTTCCTTTTCGTGATGCGCCGATGCAGCTGCTTCAGCAAGCTCCTGGCGGTTGCTTTCAGATACGTCTTCGAGTTCCAAGCCCAGGTTTACGTCGCCATTCGTTTTGTTAATCTGAAAAATTAAAGCGTTTAAGAAAAAGTTGCTTCTGTGTCTGATTAAAAAATTTACCTGTGGATGAACCGGCTCGGCTTTCTTCTGCTTCTTTCTCTGAACCATAGTGTACAACGGCTTTCCCAACAACATGACGGGGATGCAAATCAGAGCCCCGAACACCAGAACGTATTGTATGCTCTGTTGCCCCTCGTACATATAAACGTCGCATCCTTTGTTTGCATCACTTTTGCTCATTAACATCATGTTAATAAAGTAAATAAGAACGGACGGGGCGCAAGATGATCCATGCTTGTTGACAGGGTCGTTTGGTCCGTTTGCTAAAGAACACAAAATGTTTAATTAAAAAAAAATGATTTACAATTATTTCAGTGCACAAGGGTAAATATCTAACGCCGGATCCACACTCTGCAAACATTGTTAGGTATCAAGGTAACACTTTGTTAGCTAACAATGTTCACGAACAGTTGTTTGTTAAAACCCATACAGCACACATTATTTCAGAAGTGTTTCAGAAATATTTTGATAATTTAATTCCCGTAAGAAATAATCTTTAATTGATAAGCCATTTGGTTAGATTTGTATCAATGAGCATTAAATACAGTCCTAACAAGATCAAACTTTCGGCCTAGCTTGTGAATAGTAAATTGTGTTTGCAGGTGCAGAAGAAGAAAGAACGTGGTATCGTCGTTGCTAGTTACCGGCCGGTAGCGGGCTGCCAAGCATCTACTCGACTTGTGAATGGCAACATTGATATTGTGTCGTTTCTCAAAATTTTTCCTTATTATTTTTTTTTTAATAAAATGTGTTCTTCATTATGGCATCAATAAGCTGTCGTTGTACACAGTTTAATTGCAATATAAAATTATTTTAAGGAAAACGGGATATAAAAGTTTTTTGTTGTAAAAAATAAAAGTTTAGATTACTTACCCCATCCATCATTTTCTGCAGTGTACCATGCCCATTTCATGAACATCATGATCACCATGTATAAGAATAAAAATAGTAAAAGAAGTAGTTGTGGAATGAATTCTAAGATAATACTGTAATACCTTTTGAAATGTCTAAAAGATAAAAAAATAATTAAAATGTTTGCTTATATTTTAGTTTTTATATTAAATATTCAAAATTGATATTTTACGGTTCCTAACAGTGTTACCAATCGTAAAATATGAAGTAATTAAATCATAAAGCAGGTTATACAAAATATACCAAAAAACGGAAAACATTGTAATTAAATTATATATACTTACATAAAATTAAATGTACTGCATACGACACCGAATATCATGTGGGCTACTCCCAAAATTATGGACATTTTCATTTTTAACGAATTCAAAAAGATAATTTTGTTTTTGGCTGCCTAAAAAACGAAAACAAAAATTTCATAAAGTAAAAACAGGTTATTTAAAATTACAAGAATTATATTTTTTGAACAAATTGAACAATCTATCACCAACGGACTGTGATAGTGTGACGTAATTTTTATCTAAACAAAGTAATTACGACAATGAATGTATTAAAATGATGCTATCATATTTGTCAAAACTTTAAATTGTGATTTGTTTACGTTGAACTTATCTAGCTGTTGCCCGCGGCTTTACGCGCAAGGTGCGTGTTTGTATTATCAAAAAATGCATGATTATTAATTTTTATTAATTTTTATTAATTTTTATTAATTTTTATTAATTTTTATTAATTTTTATTAATTTTTATTAATTTTTATTAATTTTTATTAATTTTTATTAATTTTTATTAATTTTTATTAATTTTTATTAATTTTTATTAATTTTTATTAATTTTTATTAATTTTTATTAATTTTTATTAATTTTTATTAATTTTTATTAATTTTTATTAATTTTTATTAATTTTTATTAATTTTTATTAATTTTTATTAATTTTTATTAATTTTTATTAATTTTTATTAATTTTTATTAATTTTTATTAATTTTTATTAATTTTTATTAATTTTTATTAATTTTTATTAATTTTTATTAATTTTTAATAATTTTTATTATTTTTTATTAATTTTTATTAATTTTTATTAATTTTTATTAATTTTTATTAATTTTTATTAATTTTTATTAATTTTTATTAATTTTTATTAATTTTTATTAATTTTTACTAATTTTTATTAATTTTTATTAATTTTTACTAATTTTTATTAATTTTTATTAATTTTTATTAATTTTTATTAATTTTTATTAATTTTTATTAATTTTTATTAATTTTTATTAATTTTTATTAATTTTTATTAATTTTTATTAATTTTTATTAATTTTTATTAATTTTTATTAATTTTTATTAATTTTTATTAATTTTTATTAATTTTTATTAATTTTTATTAATTTTTATTAATTTTTATTAATTTTTATTAATTTTTATTAATTTTTATTAATTTTTATTAATTTTTATTAATTTTTATTAATTTTTATTAATTTTTATTAATTTTTATTAATTTTTATTAATTTTTATTAATTTTTATTAATTTTTATTAATTTTTATTAATTTTTAATAATTTTTATTATTTTTTATTAATTTTTATTAATTTTTATTAATTTTTATTAATTTTTATTAATTTTTATTAATTTTTATTAATTTTTATTAATTTTTACTAATTTTTATTAATTTTTATTAATTTTTACTAATTTTTATTAATTTTTATTAATTTTTATTAATTTTTATTAATTTTTATTAATTTTTATTAATTTTTATTAATTTTTATTAATTTTTATTAATTTTTATTAATTTTTATTAATTTTTATTAATTTTTATTAATTTTTATTAATTTTTATTAATTTTTATTAATTTTTATTAATTTTTATTAATTTTTATTAATTTTTATTAATTTTTATTAATTTTTATTAATTTTTATTAATTTTTATTAATTTTTATTAATTTTTATTAATTTTTATTAATTTTTATTAATTTTTATTAATTTTTATTAATTTTTATTAATTTTTATTAATTTTTATTAATTTTTATTAATTTTTATTAATTTTTATTAATTAATTAATTAGGTTAGGTAAATAAGTATAGTTTTTTTTATTTCTTGTATTTTTTGCGAAGCAACCTGCCATGGCTCTAGGCCGCACAGGTTAGGTAAATTAGTTGAGTATTTTTTTTTTAATTTTATGTATATTTGGTGTTTCAATCAATTGCTTCTTCTATCAAATCCATTTTCGATAAATTTTCTTTTCGATTTAATGTTTTTCGGTTAAATGCATTCGTTCAAATGTTTTCGATCAAATGTTTCCGATCAATTTTGTGCCATCCAATATTATGCTATTCAATTCTCAATATTATTACCATCTAGTTCAGTGATTCCCAACGTGGGGCGTACGCCCCACCGGGGGACAAATTGAATGTTGAGGGGGGCAACGGGAGCAATATGACAATTGACGTGTAAAATTTTAAAGTACCCTTAAAAAAAATTAATACCTCGATTTAACGGACTTCGTTAAATCGATCATACATATATAATATTGTCACAAAATTTTGTCCGAATTCAATATCCCCGTTAAATCGAACAACGGGTGCCGATATTGAAAAACAACTTATTGAAAAGCTAAAAACAAGAAAATTTTCAATGCAAATGGATGAATCAACTTTGAGGGACAGTGAAGCCGCATTATTAGCGTACGTAAGGTATATTGAAAATGGAGAATTTGCTGAGGAAATTCTGTTCTGCAAACTACTAGAAAGCACCACTACCTCCAAAGATATATATAACAAACTCAAGGATTACTTAAATGTCAACGATATATCAATGCAAAATATAACCTCCTGTGCTGCGGATGGTGCTCCTAATATGATGGGCAAGAAAAATGGCTGCTTAAAATTGATGAAAGATGAGAATCCAGAAATGATTCTTGTGCATTGTGTTATTCATCGGCAAAATTTGGTAGCTAAAAATATTTCGCCTCATCTAAATGAAGTAATGAAAAAGGTAATTAAATGCATTAATTCTATTAAAGCTAACGCCAAATGTGAGCGTCTCTTCAAATTATTTTGCGAAGAACAATATGCAGACCATGTGAGGCTATTACTTCACACTGAAGTAAGATGGCTCTCGAAAGGTAACTGCTTGAAAAGATTTATGGAATTATTTGATGCACTTCGTGATTTTTTAAGTGAGAAACCAGAAATGCAATACTTGTCAACAGTCGATGGTAAAGCATATGTGAGTTATTTAGCCGATATATTTGAAAAACTAAATATATTAAATAGCCAACTTCAAGGAAAAAACAAAACTCTTGTTGACGCAAAAGCTAAGATATTCGGTTTCATCACCATTATTGAATTATGCCAAAAACATATTTGCAACAAAAATTTTGAGAGATTTTATTGGCTCCAAAAATGTGAAGTGTCTGATAACGCCATACTTGTAATTGTCGGTCACCTGAAAGCTCTGCAAGTTGATATGAAGGAACGATTTTCTGACTTGGACCAAATTGATTTTCCAACTTGGATGATGCAGCCATTGTTAGTGGATTTGGCTGATGTTACAAATGTGCAGTATCAAGAAGAACTTGCAGAAATGCAAAATGATGAGTCTGTTAAAACTTTATTTAACATAAAAGGAGCGATGGCATGGCTATGTGAGGAAACAGAAACCAAATATCCAAGTTCAACTAAATTCGCAAGGAAACTATTACTTCCATTTCCATCTTCCTATTTAGTTGAATGTGGATTCAGTGCCATAACTGATTTGCTGCTCAAGAAAAGAAATCGGCTGGATATTTCCCAAAGGGGAGACTTGAGACTGAAGCTGACGAAATTGGAACCCAATATTAAATCTCTTTGCAGCAGGCATCAAGCTCAAGGATCTCACTGAATCATAATAACTGATATTACTCATCATAAAATATTGTAAAAATATTATAAAAACATATTTGTTTTGAAATAAAATTATTTTGTATACGAGAACTGATACTTTATCTTATTTTAAATTTATTAAAGGTTATGAAAAGTTCATGGAGGAAGTAATAACTTTTGAAATTATGAAATTATTTCTTAAAGGTGACTCCTTAACATTCCCTGAGACTTTATCGTTAGCCTAAAAAACATGGGGGGGGACGTGGAAATATCCATCGACCTAGATGGGGGTCATGGCTCAAAAAGGTTGGGAAACACTGATCTAGTTTGTCACATCATTGTTCAAGTTTGTGCTTAAATTGACAAGATCCATTAACACGTTAAACGCCGTGAGGTATAATGCGCGTGTCGCACTTTATTTGTCACTTTGGGAATCGCGACACACATGCTATATGTCTCATTGCCGGAAGTTATATTTGGCCGTGTATCATAGGATGTCTATCTGGCTGATGTGATTTTTTTTATGGGGAGCCGAAAGTACGTGGCCCGAGGAACCACACTTTGATGTTGGTCTGTGAATTTTGACTTATTTTTGGCTGTTTTTATTTATTTGTTTTTATTTAAAATTTATGGCCTTGGCATTGCCAATTGGCCAGACTAAGGCTGTTTTTATGGAATCCTAAAATAAAAATAAAAGAGGCCCTATTATCATGTTGTTAACTAGTTTACTACCAGTTATTTGGATAACAATACGTGCAATACAAACATCGCTTTACTACTGAACACAGAATAACACGTACCAAGGCACAAAGCGCAAAAGGATGTGACTACAATCGAGTTTTGACTTGCAGAAAACGCGACACGACTAAAAAGAAAATAAAGAAAAAAAAAACGAAACAATAATAGTATTTGAGAAAAAATCAAGTAAATATGTTAAACTGACTTGACAATTATAACGGTTTGACCCAGTGACCAGAATTTCAAATTCTACTGTGGCGCTTAACGTGTTTAATGGTTGAACTGGAACATTTGATGGTACATGAATATCTTTTTGTTTTTATTGGAAAATATTATTTTCGGTCAAAAAATAGGATGGCCAATAGGTCAATTAAAAGAAATTTAGGATAATTTGATTTCCTATTATGTAGTAAAAGTATAAAAATGTTTATACGGAGTGGCCCAAAAGTCTGGAAAAGGCCAATTATCTCGTAAATTGCTACTCCTGATTGTACAAAATTTGGGGTACCTACACCTATTAGGGGATATTAGGGAAAAACCAAAGTGACTAATAATATAAGAGAAACGGCAAATCTGGCAACATTGCAAATATCACATCTGAAATCACTGTATCCCAAAATAGGTGAACCCCTAATTTTGTACAATTAGGACTAGCAATTTACGAGATAATTGGTCGTTTCCATACTTTTGGGCCACTCTGTATATAAGAAAAACCATGGTTTAATAAATACATTAAAATTGTGTTATGCAATTCCTTCTTGATTATAATAATTAAAACAAAAACGTGTTACCAACTTTGTTTTGACGTCACGACTATCACGGCCCTTTCCCTAGTAACCGAAAATTTAGAGCTATTTTTTCGCATCTAATTGTATCAGGAAGATACAAAAAATTGCTTACTTGCCACACCGGATCAATTCCCACAACATACGGTGTTCCTTTGTAATTGGCCTTCGGTAAAAACTCGATATCGCCAGTCTCGTGCTCCAGCTGAGTTGTCGTCATATTGACATACCATCTCGACCCGAAAATATTCATCGATTTGGAGAATATATCGTTGTACATGAGTCCCGTGTAGAAGGAGAATATACCCATGAGCAGAATAATGTATCTACCCTCGAAGAAGATGCTGAAAATCTCGCTTTTGTTCTTCTGGGCTCCAATTTTCTTCTCGGCCAGCACCAGCCACAAACCGAACAAGAACATGATGACCGCGTGGCCGCAGTCGCCGAACATCACGGCGAAGAGGAAGGGGAATGTGATGATCGTGTAGAGGGCTGTAAATGGAAGAAATAGTTAATAAAGAATATTTTGTATACGACTCTTATACAAAGTTAGGCTCTTCCACGAAATAGCGCTGAAAGAAAAAGCTCTGAACAAAATAGCGCCTATCAAAATATTGCGTATCAAAAGAGCGTCACTCAAAACCTCGTCCAAACGAAACATAAAAAAAGTTTGCGAATCAACCTGCTATGTCTCCAGACCGCACAGGTTAGGTAAATTAGTTTTTTTTTTTTAATAATTTTATGTTGAAGTTTTTTGTCTTTTGAATGACGCTATTTAAAAGCCCTGTTAAGACTGACGCTCTTTTGATACGCGCTATTTTGTTCAGGCGCTCTTTTATTGCGCGCTATTTCGTTCAGGCAGTCTTTTGATGTGCACTATTTCATTCAGCGCTATTTCGTGACAGAGCCGCAAAATTGCATACAAATGTTGTTAGTAGTAGGAAGTTAGAAAAGTGACAAAATCCGGGTTTTCATTATCGAAATTTAGTCCACATGTGAATATCTCGAAAAAGCGTGAAAATGGAAACTATTGGAAAAAGATCAATGTTCGCTTGAATAATAGCTTTAATAGAATTTTGTGCAATGTCTGCATCGCCCAATAGTTTTATGAATAACTCCAAAAAGACTGAAAATGGGAAAATACAGTTTTCACTATTGGAGAGCCGTAAAGATTTTCTATGATATAAAAACCATCTTTCGTCACATAAATGTTTGAGCTATATTAGAAAAACTAGATTTTGAATATTTTCCAAAATAATTACCTCGCAATAGTTTTGATCAAAATACATAAAAGGCTAAAATAATAAATGTCTTTAAAACTGCAAAATTTAGAAAAAATCGTTTTCACCGTTGGAACGAGAAAATAATTTTTTACAAAAAGAAAAATTCCAATTTTGCAAAGGTAACACTTTAATGGGCGATCAAAAAAACCATTATACCTCGTATAAATGTTTGAGCTATTAAGAAACCCATTTTTTCTAAAATATCGCTAAAACAAGAAGCCCTTCAATAAATTTGATGAAAAATTGCTCTTTTTGAAACCAAAATACATATGATTTAAATTAAAAAATCCATCACAAGTCATTTTTACGATACAAGTTTTGCGCTAAAATTCTAAATTATTTTTGATTTCACATGAACAAATTTTGACAAATCAAAGGCTCTTATTTTGAAATATTGCCATGACAACCACATAGATTTCCGGATTTTTTTACTCCAACAAACTATACTAATCCAACAACATTTACTTACACTGATGACTCCGATGGAATGCCGATTGAGAAAGTTTTCAGAAAAATAATAGAACGGTTGACAAGCAACGACAACTATATTATATAAAAAAATTACCTCCACACTCCACAGAGGATCTACTTAGTCGTAGTTATTACAAAATTTTTGTTTTTCATATGTTTTTGTCTTATTTTATTTGGACATCATCATCCTGTGATGAAGAACTTGATGATGAACTTGAAGACTGTTCTCGATTTAGTCCAATTAAATTAAACTTTGAGAAAAACAAAATTGTTAACTGAACTTTGATGAGTAGAAATGGTTAGAGGAGCGTTTAATAAATTAAAAAAATAAATAAATGTAACCTGGAGGGGGGGGGTGAAGTTTTAGGAGGTTGAAAAGGGGCGAAAAATGGTATTACCGCGATTTCCGGCGAAATTTGACGTGAAAAATAAAAATGTATAATGCAAAAGTTGTAGATCATGCAAAAATCTACAGCTTTTGTAGGGATCACTTATTAACATAATTTTCGACAAAAATGCAAAAATTCGTTCGAATTTTCTTTTCGTTTTTATTTTTCATTTCTTCAAAAATAATTTAATTATGATGAAATATGGAGAAATTATACCTTCGTATGTCTTAAATGAGCACAATTTTTTTTAAATAAAAAAATCAAAAATATTTCGAGATATAATTTTTTTTCTGTCTAAAACACTTTTTTTTAAGAACTTTTATGCTGGAAAATTATCCTACAAAGTTCTTCAGATACTCATTTTTTTCGATATGATGATAAAAACAAAAAATGACAATAGCAATAATTAATTATTCCTTAATGATTGATATAATTTGTTTAAATTTAAAAAAAAACTGATTACCTACACCATTCAATTGTATCCTTAACTATTCATTCAAGCTTGAATCAACGACTATTGAAGTTTGGTAACCGCAAGTCCGCAAATAACATCCCAAAGTACCAAATATATAAAAACTCAACTGCATCTTCAACAAAAACAACTGAACGCTTATAGCGAAAAAATTCTTCGACTGTTCCTTTTTTTTTAATTTTGAACCCCACACAAAAATAACATTTTTACAAGAAAAGTTTTTGTCAAATGATAGAAATAAAAATGAATTAATAAAAGAGTTATCAAAAGCATTTAGAATATACACAATTAAACAAGCAGAAGAAGATTAATTATTATACAGCAACAGAAATCTCCGAAAAAAATAAGATTATAAATGCAGTAACAGTTTCATTTATATCGAAAATTTTAAGGTTATGTTATAAAGTGACCTCTACAAAAGCTGTAGATCTTTGCTTGATCTACAACTTTTCCATTATAAATTTTTGTTTTTGAGATCAGCTATCTCTGGAAATCACGATAATACCATTTTTTACCCCTTTTCAATCCCCTAAAACTTTACTTCAACCCCCAACAAGGGGCGGATTTTCCCACCAGGAAAGCGGGAGATTTCTCAGTGCGCGGGTAGGAGCCGCGGCGATTTTTTCATATTTTTTTAACTATGGGAATATTGAGTAGGTACTATCATCCTTCCTTTGGTCAATAACCTGGGGGTTAATTTTTGAATCATTCGTCACCCTGACGTATGCGAAAACGTATACTTTTACCTAAACTGTATTTTTCACTTACTCGATTCGTTTTCGCATGCGAAATTGACGTCACTTGCAAATAGGCATTTAATAGGTTTTGCAATGACATGACATTTATTCATCTCATTAAAGCAGTTTCATACTAGGTTTCTATTGCTAGATCATCGAATTTTGCTGAAATAAGCTACAACTCTTCGTTAGGTTGATCTGTTCGCAAAATATTTATCGAAGAGCATTCAAAAATATACTTTCCTTGACGCATGCGATAAATGTCATATGCCAATTGACGCATACTACTTTTAGCGAATGGTTTCAAAAATTAACCCCCTGACGATCGTCGTAAGAGGTGAGTTTCGCAGGTACAATATCGGAACGCACACAAACTGCTCTAAACATTATTTACGAGTGGTGCAGAGAGGAGGAACTAACAGAAAACCCTCACAAAATCACATTTTAGTCAACTTCACAAAACGAAAAGTACTGACAGGACTAAATAAGGAATGAACATTCCATTTGATCACAGGTTAACATGGAATCAATACCTGAAAAAATTACCCAAAAGAGAACATTCTTTAACTTATGTCGAAGGTTGATGGAAAAAATCAGGGACTACAATCGAAACTGTGCCTATGCCTATATACCACAGTATGATATAACATATGGGTCGATGGTATAGTTGTCAAATACTTCGGAAAGCTGGAGTTATTTAACAGCTCAACGGTATTCAAAAGCAAGCATGCCTGAGTACGACTCCAACAGCAGCTCTAGAATTCATGCTAAACCTAACACCACTACATATATTCATTCAAGGCGAAGCCAGGTCTGTCACATACAACCTGCACAAAGGTCCATCACCCATTAGCAGTTTGCATGGACGTGACGACAGCAAGCTATATGAAGAATTGGAAAACGTCTAAATAATGGGAATGCATTTAGACGAAATGCTCCAAAAGTATAGCTTTCAAAAGCGATATAAAGTAAGTATACCAGACATGGAAGTTGGACTGGAGGACCTCCTTTTCAAGTAGAATTCACCTGGTATACAGAAGGCTCCAAAACCCATGAAGGTTCAGGAAGGTATACATAGTACTAAGCCAAAAACAGAATCTTACTGAGCTTATGTAAACATCGAGAAGGAGCCCCAAAGGGTCTTATTGACCCAAAGCCCTTCTTTGTTGTCACAAAGACAGCTATCAGAACATGCACAAAGCAGTGGATGTTTAAAAAATCTCAGGAATGGTGGAATGTCCATCACCTAAACTCACCGAGGTCTAACAAACATATGTATCTAATATCGGTCTGACAGAAGATACCTTATGCAGATTCTGTAAGGGAAAGGAGGGTAACTGCAAAACACGTATTGTGGTCTATCACAACTGAGATTCTTTACACTTGGAGAAGAAAAACCAAGGACAACTAACTACGCCGGAGACTACTTCCTAGTCGAAAAGATCGAACTAGATAAGGTACTCTTAACATCAATTAAAGGATATCCACAATAGATCTGAAATGGTCGAGGTGGAAGAGGCCACATGACCCATAGTCCTAATTAAATCTAAGCTATTGTAACATAATTTACGATTCAGTTATTTATAATGTTTTTCCATTTTTTTACTGGACCAGCGCGACGCGATTTCAATTGACTTCCCGCGCCGGTCTGAGGGGTCCGGTCCTATCCGCCTCTGACTCCCACCCCAGGTTGCATTTATTTATTTTTAATTATTACAAGCCCCTCTATCATTTACACTTATTATAGTCCAGTCCTATCGTTTTTCCCCAATATTAGCTACAGTTCATACTTCCTAAAAACCCAACCTAACCTAAAAATGCTTACTTTATAAAACCCCCTAAGCTATAACTATTGCGATATATTTATCTCTGTTTTAATTTAAAATTCTATTGTATATATGTTATGAAGTAAAAACATGTGTCGAAACTGTAGCCGGCAGGTGTACCTGTTTTATTATTTGAAATTAGGTAGGTATTTATTACTTATAGCCCAGGACAGTTTAACCAAAATTGGAAAACAAATTGGATAGAATAAACAACGAACAACTATTAGACCAACATTATTTCACGAACTAGTTCAGAATCAAGGAATTACACTCAGTTAGTTATATATAGTTTGTTATAAACAATTTAAAGTATAATTTTAGTTAAAAAATAATTTACCTGGATTGGCTTCTCTATACGAAGCAACTCCATACGAATCAATCAAATTTTGGAAACCTCTGGTAAATTTGTTGGTTCGATTGAAAGTCGGTGGATCTTCGTTGGTGTTTATTACATTCAAAAATGATGGAATTGAACTACCGCAAGCGCTCTAGAAAACAACATACAGACACTATTATTAGAAACCACGATACACAGACTAACGGCGCAGTTTATAGCTAAAGAATCAGTTCGCTCACTCTGCGTCGGCACTTTTGATCTCAATGTTCCAGTTTATACCCTGCGCAACTCGGATTTGTGTCCCTGACGCATACAGAAACAAATCATAACCAATACAATATATGACAACCGCCTATATTCAAACAGCAGTCTTCTGCGCATCCTGAATTTGTATCCTTTGAGTGGATGTTATTTTGGAACATCCAACTCGTCCGAGTGAGCTAACTGATTCTTTTTAGCAATAAACTGTGCTAACGGTATGTTCCTGCGCATGCAGCTGACTGACGGCGACGTCACGTGGGACATATAATTATAAGCATTAAATGGAAGATAAGCCGGAGACACACATGCCCGTAGCTTGCACACGTGCATGCCAGTACTTGAATGTTTAAGCTACTTGCATGTGTATCTGTTAACTTGCATACAAGTAGCTTGTATACAAGTAGATTGAACAAGATTTGATTTTTTGGCATGCAATGTGCAATTTGGATGATGGGGGGGGGGGTAGTACGAATTGCATGCCAAATTGAAAGTGTGAACACAGACGACAGGTACGAGCATGTCAATATAGTTGCATGAAAGTTGTGATCACCGTCAAGTTTTTTCTTTTTTCATAATGTCTCGGTGGGTTATATACGAATGTTTGTGGAATTCGAATTCATCTCTGTATAAAAATAAAATAGCACGAGAAAATGCCACTTTAAAATTCTGGGACAGGTTAGTATGAAACGTATTAACCTATTCGAAATCTCCGCCATCCCGAAAGCTTGTACGCTACTGGCAAATGTATCCTCCGTCTTCAAGCTACAGGCACATACAAGCTAGTGACATGCAATTTTACTTGCAAATGTATCCTCGGTCTGGCATGCAAGCTACTAGCACAATTTTCTTGCATGTGTTATCTCCGGCTATAGTGATTTAAATTCGATATTTTGCCAATTTTAGATTGTATGCAGTTACTTAAGCTTTATTGGTTATTTTGTAATATATTAGTATACAAATATGACGGTTTAAGGTAAATAATACTAACAAAAATATTATTTTTTCTCATAAATTATAGGTATTTTGTGACAAAATCCATGACCTGGCCAGAAGATAAGTAAAAAATATAGACTAAAAATACAAATTGGACTCAAATTTGTACTTTCTGGGCGTGGTAGTTCTCTTGCAATCTCTTTTCTTATTATGTAAAATAAAAATAAGTGTACAGAAACAAATTATTTATTTATAAAAAGTAGGTACACAAAAAAATTACTTTATATATATATATATATATATATATATATATATATATATATATATATATATATATATATATATATATATATATATATATATATATATATATATATATATATATATTCGTGTCCTACTCATACATGGCATTACTTCAAAAGGACCGTTGTATTGGGACAGAAAACTACCGTTTTATCTGCTAAAATTTTAAAATTCCGATTTATATTCTTTGCTTAATGAGGCCCGTGCACCTGGTGGAATTCAATTTCGTTTTCTTGCGTCTATGTTTAAGAGGAATCTCACAACTACTTTCCTCAAAGTGGATAGGGCAACTTTAAGTTTTTCCTTTCTTCGATAAGAATTTACCCATATTTTATGGCTTTCGGAAATATCTCCACTGCGCCGCCCGACATTTTAAACATTAATTTAGTTCTTCCCTGTTATACATAAAAAAATATAGTCACTACTAACACATATACAAATAAATTATTACACTATTCAATCGAAAAGTGTCAAAATAACTTGAAAGTTCGTCCCGCATTACGTCATTGCGCGGTTTGGACGAATTTTGAATCGAAAGTCAGCATACCGTTAATATGTGTATCGTGATTAGAAACAACAAAAATTACATTTATCTAGGAAAGACGCATGCGTATTTTTATCTCAACTTACCGAGCCATCGGCTAAAGCTTTCTGTACGACGGTGATGTCATTATTGGGCACCCAACACTCGCCGATCAAACACTTCTTGGTCACGTCCATGTTGAAGAAGTTCAAGGTGTGGTAGATTGCCTTCATCTTGCTGACCATGATGCTCCAGTTCTGTAGCTCTTTGGCCACGCTGACCAGGACCCTTTGGCGATGGTCCCTGGTTTGGTTTAAAACCTAATAAAAATAGCGTCATTTAAATTTCTATAACAATAAATTAAAAAATATCTTAAGCTTAAATAATTTATTGCTGGTATGGAATTATCACGATATACTAGTAGAAAGACTTCGTTTGAACAGTAGAAACTACAGCCGCGTCACAGCAACATTGCGCAAAAGTGTCATAGTCGGTGCCATATTGTCTTTGATAAATAAAATAATAATATACTGGTCTGCGTGTGGTTTGGGTTTATTTGAAGCCAAGATCTACCCTTCCTTTTATTACGGTCTCTCTCTTCTGGTTCTTGTGATTTATCCATTTTAATTTGCAGCGGCAAGTTTAGTCAAAACTATCGATAATCAGTTCGGAATTGTCAGTTGTAAATTTTTGTAATTTTATATTTTCAGATAGTAATTTTAAAATTTTTAGCGTTTCTGGTATTTTTAACGAACTTTATTAGTTTTAATTGTAAAAATGACTCTTAAATGTCTTGTTTTCTATAAAATATGTATTTGAAAAATTTTTACATCATTTCATAGGTAAGTAAACAACAGACATAGGCGGTATCATTGTTTTATTTTTATATTTAAGAAGATATTAGTTTCGGTACATTAGGTATCTAATAGGGCTTTCCATCACAATATTTTTTTGTGCTCATGCGTCAGTATCAGCCATCTTCTTCGTACTGATTTTTTGTAAACAAGCATGTTAAAATATCCACGTGAAAAAATTATAATTGATAAATATTAATTTTAAGTGTATTCGTTTAAAAAATGGGATAAAAAAAGTAAAGTAATAAGTGTCTTAATTGAAAAATCAATTTTACTAATCAATTAATTATGTTATGTTTACGGAAACGAAAAACTAAACGGTATTGTTATGAGTATGAAAAAGTGACACACGGTATAAATGATTATTTTTTAAAAAGACTTGCCTGCAATATCGTAAAAAACTATCAAATCATTAGGCAAAATACATATTATACCTGTTCAAAATGAGCATTATGAGTGAAAAAATGTGGTCAAAGTGACAAAAGGTTTTCGATCGATTGATGAATGATGTTACTAAAGATACTTATATTTGTTACTACATTTTCATGGAGAAAGTGGTTCAACAGAAGAAAATCCTTGTCTGGTATTACACAATATTTTTTAATATTGAATACTACTTCGGTATACACAGTAATATTATTTAAAAAGGTCATGTTGATCCTTTTTAATTGCTCACAACTATGTGCTTCCACAGAATTATAAAAATGTAAATCACCATCAACGAGTTTTTCTAATGATTGATTTGTGTGTAGAGATAATATTGCTTTTCCAGCCATTGTTGATCAAAACAGTACGAAACTTTTGAATTGGCGTTATTTCAACATGGCGGCTGCGCTTGCGCTCATCACATGATGAAAAGGCCTATTAAAAGGTAAATCATATGATACATAATTTGTTATACCACTGAAATAGTTAATAATTTTTCTGCAGGTTTACAACAAACCTTGAAGCAAGGACAATTTAAATTCCAAGCTTAGAAATAGGAGCGGTTGAAGTTGATAAAATTAACAAAAACACTAGAATGTTTAAAATATTTTATAAATCGTGATTCCAGCTATGAAGATGAATTTAAAGCTTTATTCCTAGATCAATAGTTTTCTGACACCATGTATATAAGTAACACAGAGCGTTTCGTTGCATGCCCTATGTAGTAAATATTTTAGTTTTGATAAAGTCTGATCGATAACAGGCACCTTTGTTTATTGACATTCTAAAAAATTGTCTAATAAAAACGTCGAGCTTATTTGTCGGATAAATGAGTCTTCAATTATTTCGTATAAAAATAGGAACATAATCTAAATTGTTTGCTTAATTAATCCAAACCATTGTATATACAAGTCATACACAAAAGTAAACTAATAATATGTATATTTTAAAGATAAATATCTAAACTATTCTAAACCATGCAGGTTGGTTATTTTCGTTTTCCAAGGTAAAACAATGTTTTTTTCTTAAAAATGTCTTGTCTGCTAAAATAATATTAACTAATAGTTTGTACATACCAAGTTAAGATCTTCAAGGCGCGTGCGCACTCCTTTTAGCATGTCATTTCTTTCGGTGAGAGTATTGGGACATGGATATAAAGATGCATGAAAACCAGCGCAAACTTTCTTTATCCTAGTTTTAAGCTGCTCTCCTTGGAAAAAGGCTGCGAATACAGTTTTGTGGTATTCAATACCCTACAGAAAATAATTACATTAAAAAATAGATTTTGAAAATTTTGGGTGTAAAAAACCTAGTTTTGACAGTTTTGAATACAATTTTGGATGATTAGTATTGCAAAAAAATCAATAAAATCCTTGCGAGAGATAAGAGTTAATTGAGGTAGAATTTGTTATTAAAAATCTAAATTTACGACTAATATTGGATAATTAATGGCAGATAAACATTAATTTGACAATTGCGAGTTTGTGAGTTTCAAAAACCTATATTTTACAATAATTTTAGAACACAATAATTTATATGATAGCTGTTAAAAAACTTAATTTGACAGTTTTGAAAACAATTGTAGATGATTGTCAAAATAATTTGTAAAACTAAATTGAATCTTTGCGAGATATCAGACTTAATTGAGACAGAATGTTTTATAATAAACTTTAATTTGACAATTTTATGATCATAAAAACTTTAATTTGACAGTATAAAGAAATTTGAAGTATTAAAAATTTGTTGATTTTCTAAATTTCACCCTTGCGAGGTCAACTGAGTCAACATTCTAATTTTGACAATTATCATACCAAGTTTGGATGATAAATATGTCAAAAACTCATCTGTAGGAACCTACAGATGGGTTTAAAAAATATAAAGACTAGCTTACCGTCGCTGGATCTTCCATAGGTTTCTCAATCTCGGCTTGTCTAAGAAACACATTTCCTCTTGAAATTCTCCACAACATCCTTTCAAAGGCCGGTACCCTTTCCCTATTAATCACCCCAGCTACAAACCCAAGGCGGCCTCTGATTGAAGCGGTGTGATCTTCCGTTGGAATAAGAGACTTGTGAACAGAGTCTGATAAACCGTTGGCTTCATCTTGCTCGTTGAAGAAGGCTTGGGTCTTTTCCAACACGTGTTTGAGTTCCGTCAGTTCGAGGTAGTTGGATTTTAGGTTTACAGCGCTCTCTGACAGTTCCTTGATGTCTCCTTCTGTTTTTTCTAGATGAGCCTAAGTAAGAGTTGTAAATTTATCAGAATTTGAAACATTGATTTTTTTATTGTTAAACATTTTTTGTATACTAATGTCATAACGAAATTATAAATTCTGGTGGATTCACTAGTGGAAAAAATGGTGGATGTATCTATTTTTAGTCAAAAGACGTCTAGAATCTTCGAGAACCAGTCTGGAGCGGCAGATTTTTACTTAAATAGTTTGCTCTTATATTTTAGTTTTAGTGACGAGATCGTTCTGTTCAGATAAATATTGTCAATATTAATTAGTGTCTTAGTTTGTTTAAATAAAATAAACGTTACCCTATAAAGCTGACTAAGTTTAGAGTAACGATTTGGATTAATTGTAAATTCTACCCATTAAAAAATAAAATGGCACATTTCTTAGTCGATTATTGAAGCCTTTAAGATATAGTATTTTAACCTAATAGTTCCCAAGGTTATAAAATTAAACTAATTTGATGTTTTTACTGCATTTTATAACTATACATACACTTACATAAATATTTATAATATAAAAAAAATGTGTTCTTATTTTTTTTACAACAAAATGTTGCGTATACGCAACGTTGGGATTTACGGAAATTTGAATTTAATTTTTATTATGAAATAGTTCAAAACAGTTTGTGTGAAGATGAACCTGACACTTGGCACACATGTATATAGTGTTGCTTTTGCATTGTCTACATCTTCTTCTTGCTTTATTTTTCTCCTCTATTATCACGTGACCGACATTATCATGTCGAATTTCCATAGGCAACGCACTTTTAGATGGACGTCCATAATTTGTTCTTGGAGAAAAGTTTACTTGGTCACTTGGTCCCGCTATGTCTTCGCCTTGAATGCTAGCTTCTATGCCTGGTTGATCCATTTTCATAAGAGTGACTGCAATGTAGGACTTAAAAGATAACTGTGACATTTTTGATTTGTTTGCTAAATTGTATATTTTCCAAGAATTGACTATAACACTGTCAATCAAATTTACAAAAAGGGGCCACCACCATTTTTTCCCTTTTACATTGATTAGGTAATTACATATTCCATTGTCATGCAAATCAACACCTCCCATGTGCTGATTATACTCGGCTATAACTTTCGGCTGAGGAATTGAAACGGTCTTTTTTCTTTCCTGTTGTACCTTTTTGCACCTACTAAAGGTTCAATGGTGCAGATATTGGTTGCCACAGTCACCACAGAATTATCGTTCCACCTAACTAATAATATATTTTGATCATTGTCAAAAGAAAAATCATAAGAACCTCGATTTTTTTTCTTCATATTTATCACAGTTTCCATTGTGTTATTACACGTACGGTTATCACGTATTGTCCCAGTAGCGTAGAAACCACGTTTTTTCAATAAACAGAATAACTTGTACGAAGAGAAGAAATTGTCAAAAAATACGCGATGATAAGATGGCTGTTGAACAACTGACAATAATTCTAATACAACATTTTCTCTCAGTCCCAATTCGTTTTCATAACCGCTTGTTTTTCCACCATGAGGTATGAATTTGTACAAATAACCATTGGAGCTACATAGACACCATAGTTTGAAGCCGAACCGAATTGGTTTGCCCTTGATGTACATCTTACAACTATGTCGTCCAAAATATGGTACCATTTCCTCATCGATAGATAAGATTATGCGAGAAAACTCCAAACTGCATGTTCTTTTTATTTATCATATCAAAAAGAGGTCTTAGTTTTTATGGAATCGAATCGGTTTCTACTCATACAATTTCTAACTAACATTACTCCTTTATCCTCATCTTTGGACCAATATAGTTTTGTAGCCGGTAACGTATGATACCCCGAAAAAATCAGTATGCCGAAAAATCTCTTTAGGCTAATTTTGTCAATCTCAAATGAATGACGATTATTATCTTGAGCATATTTTTTTTGTATAAGAAATTATTTTGTCCCAAACATCGTCACTGAAATACAAAGAAAAAACTTCGAAAGAAGTTTTACCGGCAATTGCATTTTCAATTTGTTCTAAGTTATTTTTCTCTTTAGTCTGTGGTTCTATTGTATATAATGGGTTCTCCTTTTTCCACTTCGGAAGAGTTTTCTTTGGCCTCTTTGCTTTTTTGGAACTAGATGGAAATGATTGATTATTATCAAAGTCTTCAGATGTATCAGGTAAACTTGCATGAATTTCATAGGTCCCTGCAACATCTGGCAAATCCATCTCATTCTCACATACGTAGTCATCAACCACTTCTTCATCTTTAAGTTCATCTACAGGCGGCGGAATATATATCTTCGTCCTCCTCCAGTAAAGCTAAGAGCTCAGCAGATGACAGAGGTTTTTGGTTTTTCCAAGACATCACTATAACTAAAGAAATAATTATTTTAGAAAAAAAAAACGTTTAGAAAATATTTAAAATAATACGCACTTTTATTTATTGAGTTCTTACTTCAATCGAATATTTTCAAGAACTACGCGTTACTAATCAAAGCTACTTTTCACTCAAACATATAACAAACTAACTGTTCACTATGAATAATTATACAACACTGACCATATTGTGCTACTGTGCTCTCGAAAGATGACGGCGCAACACACTGTCGCCTTCTTACTGGGAGTCCCAACGATGCGTAAACGCAACAATAATAAAACAGATCAGGTATTCAAAAACTATGAACACTGTGCCCAGGGTCATGTTATATTCCTCTTACTAAAGCTCAGGTAAATCTAAATTCATAATTTAGAAAATCCCATTGTATTCTGAGCTGGACAATTACATCGACGAATATAAATAGGGCAAATGCCCAAATTTTGGCATATTTCGTATACTTACAAAAATTAAACTTCTTGAAAATTTGGAGGTATTTTATAAAAAGATTAATCCTTATTCTGTTGGGATTAATGTTGTCACAAGAAAAAAGTCATTTCATTTAAAGACATATTTTAAAAAAATATATTTGATGTTTCGTTTACGCAACGTTGGGGACTAATGGGTTAATTATTCTGGGACTTAGTAACCTCTGTATTTATCACTGCAGATGTCACTGTATATTACTGTATATGTCACTGTATATGTTAATGTACCTGCCACTGTATCTGTCACTGTATATGTCACTGTATCTATCACTGTTATCTTTCATTGTATCTGTCACTGTATTTGTATCAATATGAAGTACGATAACTTTTTTTCTTCTAATTTTGACATATAAAGTGAAATTTTTGTAATCGCAGCAAGTTTAGAAATAATCTACTTTACGCAACCATTTACATAATGTTGAACATTATGAAACTGGTTTCGAAAAAATCATTATGTGACTAGCTGCGAAGAGAAAACAAATAAAAATTAACCTTTTTTGTTTAAAAATCGATAATATACATTACAGGTTGTAGGTTTAACCAAATTCTATTTTTATAAGTCTTTCTTTGATATAAACACTTTCAACCTAGTAATAATGTTGTTTTGTTCCTTATTTTCCATTCTAAATCATCACAACATAATTAAAACACAATACACGACAAAATAACCCATTTTTTTTGAAAACTAAATAACTTTAAATAAGCCTTATCTATAAACACACTACAAGTCGTTAGGAATAAATAATTATTTATCGATGAAATGACGCATATACAACTAACAATACAAGAAAGTAGTAATATTGGTTGTCTAGATGTCAGTAATGTTTTACCAAAACAGAATTTAATATAAATAATCTAGTCAAAATTAGAAAAAATATTGTATGTAACATGTTACGAAATACAGTTTTATGTAACTCGTTCATGTTCTTTCTTAAATAGCTATTATATGTTTTGATAGGCTACAATAATAGAAAACTGGTTAAAGGGGGGGAAATGTACAGAACTTTTTTCATTAAACCCTGTAGTTTAAAATAAATGCATGTATGCAAATGCATCAACTAATAATATTTTTATATCGTTTGGCTCGAGGTCAGTTAACAAAAAAATGTCCGTAAATAATTATTGTTCTACTATCGCATTGTTAAAAAAATACTACATTATTTAGATAAGTAAAGGATATAAATTATCAGTGAATTGAATTTAGAAAACTGTATTGCCGCATATTTCTTAGAACGCTTCTGATCCAAATTTTAAGGACCCGTTCGTTTTTATCTATTTACAATATTACTGATGAAGATCATTGCTTAGAGAATTTTGTGCCGATGTTTAAAACGTTTCAAGAATAATTCATTTCTTTAGTCGTCTCTGCCTTTAAAAAAACCTTCGAGAAGATTAAATTATTAATTCACATTAAGTTTATTATTGGAAAAAAGTGAACACCCTTTTTAAATTACTCAGAGCCGCCACTAATTAAGACCACTAGAATAACTAAAGGAGACGATGAGCGCGAGCGGCCCAAGCGGTGCAGTGCACAGACTATTTATTATTCATAATTAAAATTAAATTAAAATTAATGAGATTATCCATAAAATCTATTTTACGTATTTAGCATTTATGCACCAGTCGCCACTGGGTATGCTTCTAAATATAGTGCCCTTGGATTCTGGAATACTACACATTCAGTCGAAACTGAATAGAGGTTTCTTCCTCCTCCTCACAGAATCTGCACTCACCATCTTCTACTACTCTCAGTTTACTAAGGTTTTCTTTGAATCGACAATGCCCATTAAGGATTACTGTTACAATGCGTATTCTGTTCTTGCTCTGGCAGATAGAGGTTTCCGATCTTTTTTGGATTATACTCACTCAATATAAAATAATGGCTTTGATTATCCTATATACGAAGATGTATTAAAGATTAAAAATAAATCTTCTAACCTCAGTTTTCTGGAAAAATATAGTACTCCCCTGTATTGAAATCAGTTAAAAAAATACAAATATATTCCCATCTAACGAAGCATAGTTTCTATAATTTCTGAGATGTCTTCCTTAACCATCTAAATTAAACTCATAAGGTATAAATATTAAAAAATATATATATAATAATGACTCACTTCCAAATCAATGATTTCTCGTGGATTCGGAGCTTTTGGCAGCTCACTGACGTCTGGAATATTTACGTCGTCTTTTCTTACTTCTGCTTCGATGTATCTCAGTTTCCTTTCCATCTCGTCACATCTTCTGACTTCGTTTACGAATTTTCTTTGAAAAGCGTTCACATTTTCGTTCAACTAAAACAAAATTATAATTTTATTAATAAATAGAACACAGGCTAGCTTTAATAATCTAAATTCAAAATCTATGGATTATGGTATAAGAAAAATTTTAAAAACACTACAAAGTATTTGGAATAGTTCTAAAATGTATGGATTGAGTGTAGAAGTTACTTTTTAGTACCAAAATATCTGAAATGGCTTTATTTATATTCTATAGCATGTTGAAGGCACGTGAATGCCTAGAATGATTTTAGCGTGACAAAACATATTTTTGCCAAACCTTAAGAGCCTTTAAAATCACTACAGATTATTTGAAAAAATATTTCTAAAATATCTAAATATCAGCGAGTATCAGACAAAGCTATTGTCATTTTCTCTGATAGCCAAGCAGCTCTAAAGGCAATTCTCAGGACTGCTGAAAGACTACCTAGAAGATATAGCAGAGCTAAGTAGTCAAAACACGATGACCCTAGCCTGACAAGGCTTAGATAAGGCGATGACAGGCCCCAAACCCTTTGGTGGCGTTGCTAAGGTATTATACAAGGCATCCATCAAACAATGGACACAAAAAGAGACTCAGGAATGGTGGACAAATATCCAAGAGTGAGACAGGCCAAACAGTTGATCAATGAACTATCCAAGTTCACGAAAGACCTACTGGATTAAAAACGTCAAATCGTTAGGCTAACAGTAGGTATTCTTACCACCATCAAAGCTACCAAGTCTAATATAAACGACAAAGCTAGACGATATACTCTAAAAAACGGAATCCCACAATAGATCTGAAAAGATCGCGGTCGACAAGGAATAATAATGTCCTTTCAAATCTAATCTAGTCTAATCTAAAATATCTAGATTGAGTCTAGCAGTATTTGAGTTACTTTGTAGTACCAGAAGATATTTGAACTGTCTAGAGATAATTTAAAATGATCCTATTTTAACTAAAAAGTTCTAAAATGTATGGATTACGTCGTTGAATTAGTTACTTTATAACACCAGTAGGTGAATTTTTTATTTCTGGAAAGCCTTTTTACCGTTAGCGCCTATAGTCCAGGATCCGTAAGTAAGGTCGACCTTCACCCATCTGTTTAATGGATAAAAGTTTTTTTTATTAAATTACATATGGTATTAAATATACCGCAAATGGGTTGCCTAAGAAAATACGGTCACGGCCATTTTTTACTTTCCTTTCTGTGTACAGATAAGGAAAGTATAGGAATCATGATAAAAGTTGCTTATGATGTCATCTTCTATTATTTTGTCCCTATACATGATTTTCCTAAAATGGACCCAATTCGAAATATTTGATTAAAAGTGCAAATTTCGAATTTTGAGGATAACTGAAAAACGGATGATGAAAACACCAAATTTTAAACTTAAGTCTTAATCCATCCTGCGCTAAGCTGATTAAAGTTTGGGCATAGTCGAAGCATCTGAGGAATACTTTACAGGGTGTCGTTTTTTTTACTTTAAGAAAATAAATAGTCTGGACCATATTTTCTTAGGCAACCCATTTACGGTATATTTATAAACATATTTTATTTAATAAAAAGAAACTTTCATCCATTAAACAGATGGGTGAAGGTCGACCTTACTTCGGATCTTAGACCACTAGGATTAAGTTGAAGTGATCAGAGAATCAAATGCCATATAGAGTGCTTTAACAATAATGTCTTAATGATTTTGTATAGTCTGAAGTAGGACTGAAGTGCTTATAGGATTTGTAGGATTTTTCAAATATTCCTGGAATGTCAGGAACCTACATTAAAGTAACTTTGGTTGAACAATTTTTGACTCTGGCATTCTGTTGGTATTTACGAGTTGCTTCTCTTTTGTACATGTCCTCACTGCCGCTGTTGTTTTGGCAAACATTCCTTCTCCAGGTGTGTATCACAGTCCTAGTTGTGATAGGATACTAATAAAATTTGGAAGATATAAGAAGTAGAATAGACGTATGAGACAATGCCTTGTGACTTTTTTGATGAATATTTCACTTTGACAATTCATTTGATGGTTTGACGTTTTTGAATCAATATTTGGAATAAATGTTTAGAATGCATTTTTTATGCGAAAATAAATACATAACGTTTGATAATTGTTATGTTTATAGAAAACGAATTTAATAATAAATTTTTATAATAAAATGAAAGTCAATATTTAACAAAATTACTACCAAAACAATATTTATCTATCAATTATGTTAAAATTTTCTAATCAAACACAATTACAATTTTATGTTCATTTGTTGTTTTTTTAATAATGGTTGACATACTTTTGCCTTTTTAAACATTCAATATTAACGGATGTAATTTATTAATTCCCTGTGTAATATTAAATTTCATGTTTATTTATATATTTGTCATGGAAACACAAAACTGCTATATTGTTGGTCTTACGTACATATTTTCGTGTTAAACTAAATTAAAGTTTATTCACGAAATTGAAATGTGATAATTAAAAATTAAAATTAGTACAATACGAATTAGCGACAAAACTTATTACATTTTTGAATTTACTGATATTTCAACTTACATCTCTGAATTGTACGCATCCCGTCTCACCCAATTCTGATATGGCGTAATAAGATGCTTCTGGCTGGATAAATAATTGAGACAGGACCATTTCCTCGCTCCTGAACATGGCCCCCATCTTGAGGACGTTTTATATACGCTTCTTGTCTGGAAAAAAATAAATATTATTCAGTATGAGATCAGAGAAATAGTATTGGACTACAAAACATTGAATTTATTGTACCTTTATTATCAAATAATTTAATACTAGGTACACATCTACAAGCAAGTCTTAAAAACCATAAGGACTTATTTGAAGTATTATTCTGTGAGAAACATAGGTATTGTAGTGCTTCCTGGTATATATTTACACAAAGTTATCAAAAAAAAAAACACGAAAATCAATCGGTACGTACATAAACTCATGTTAATTCTGACAGCTTACGGTTGCCGAATCATTATATATCGAAGTATAATAAATAATAAGTTATTACTTCTAGGTTATCTAATTAAAATTCTAATTTAATGGTATAATACGACCAATTTTTTTAGAAAAACAAAAAACAATAGGATCTAAAAGCCAGCCGTCACCTCAGTTTTTATTCCGCGGCCAACTTGACTGGCCAATAATATTAAATCGCTTTTTAAATTTGAGAGATGCTCAATTGGTGGTTCCCACCCTTAGATAAAAGCAGGGACGACTCGATTAATATAGATCCCGATACAGATATAGGTAAAAAACTGTCAGTGTTTTAGAAATGTATTATAAACTTTCTAAAACACTGAAAGTTTTTTCATACATATTATATTCTGTCACTGTGAACCCCTCCACGAGCCGCCACTGGATAAAAGAGACCAGAGATATAACATACACCGATGTTTAACCTGCGCAAATGTTGCCAATTTCTAAAGAAAGGTTAACGGAGTGGGAGAACTGGGCGGAGACCCGTACTCTGTGACAGGGACGGAATTTGTTTATTAGCATCATAATTACTATTACTTAAAAGATGTTTAATGGAATTTTGTATTATGAAATAAAATTAACGTGATTTTTTAATATCAAACAGATGCACAACATTTTATGTAAAAAGAAGACCTTTTATAGAATATTTCGTTAGCGTTTATTTACTACGGATTTTTCTGCAAGAGACTACAGTAAAATGTTGGAATAGAATATTGTTAATAGAGCAAGAAATGGTACTCATTGTCTACGAGTATTATAAAAAAGCATGTGCGCAGGCGAATACTGCAAATCAAACCTTTTTCTACGACTATCACATAATATTAAAAATAAGTCAAAATGAGAAAATGCTGTTTTGTATTGTAACCTTAGAAAAAGGTATATTAAAGATTCTTTCTTTAGGAATATTAATTAATATAGAGGATGAGTCACACAAAACTCTAGAAATGCAAATGTCTGAAACCAGATAATATTTTAAAATTTAAACCTATTAAGAGTCATTTGGTCGCTAGGGGTGGGTGATTATTGAAATAAATTATCGATCATTCAAAATAATCGATTATTTTTTCGATCAATCGGTTATTTTCAAACATTCTATTTTTTGTCGTATTTCCTTTGAAATAGACTACTTGATTATCTTCGAAAAATAAAAAATAATCGACTATATAAAAAGCCAATTAACCGATAAATCAGTGTTTACAAAAAATTATGAAAGAATTATCGTTTATTTTAAATAATCGATTATTTTCAAATAATCTATTTTTTTTTCGTCCATTGAAACAGATTTTTCGATAATCTTTGAAAAATCGAAAATAATCGATTAATCAAAAATAATCGATAAGTTAAAAAGTCGATTAACTGATAAATCGATTTAAAAAAAAAAAACGAATTATCGATTATTTTAAATAAACGATTATTTGCGATCAATCGATTATTATCAAATAATCTATTTTTATTGTATTTCCTTTAAAATCGATAATTCGATTATCTTTGAAATACCGAAAATAATCGCTTATTCGAAAATAATAGATTAATCGAAAATAACCAATTAATTACGATAAATCGATTTTAAACAAAAATAACCGAATTATCGATTATATAAAATATATATATTATTCGATCAATCGATTATTTTCATATAATACATTTGAAAAATCTAAAATAATCGATTAATCGAAAATAATCGATTAATAAAAAAACCGATTAAACGATAATTCGATTTTTTCAAAAAATCGATTATTTTCAATCAATCGATTATTTTGAATAAATCTACTTTCTTTTTGTCTTTCCTTTAAAATCGATTACTACATTATCATAAAAAAACTCAAATAATTTATTAAAAATAACGGATAAATCGATTTTCATAAAAAAATATAAGAATAATCGATAAATCGATTATTTTTGTAACCCCTATCGATCGCTTGCTTTTATCCGAGCATTTAGCTCCAAAATTTAGAGATTCGGATTTTTTGATCCCGTTATCTTTGAAACCGCATTCGATTGTATAATGAATGAATAATAAATATTGTTAGAACTTGGATTTTTTTAGTAAACGAAAATTTTGTTCGGGTTGTTTAGGGGTTTATAATGTAACATTTTATTAACAATGTGACTAACTCCCGTAACTTTAGTATTTTTTTTTGCTTATACTAGATCATATTGTGCGATTTACTTACCGACCTTGATATTAAACTGGATAGCTATATGAAATAAACCCTACTCCTAATTTCTAATCCGACATGGGTGAAAAAACGGTTTGTGTGTATGACAATTTGGACGCCAGGTGCTGGTAACTCAAATGGAAAAACATGAGGACGGTAATTTAGTACCACTCCAATTAACGGGATGACGCTGGTATCGAAATGTCATGTTAGTTGTCAATGAAAACGAATATATTTTTTATCTTTCATAACATTGGTACCTATTTGTATAATAAGTATATACAATTTTTTAATATACATCGTGGCATTTTGAACTTGAAATTGAATAACTAGAACACTTTGGGGTCTATTCTGTAACAATTCCTTTATATTTAACGGCCTTTAAAAATATTGGCGACCTTTAAAAATATGTTTGTATTCGTTAATTTACTTCTGTCCTTATTTATACAGATTTCTTTTAGATAGTCCTCTAATGTATTTTAAAGATCCGTTTAAATAGTTACCGAATTAAAGAAGAAAATATTTTTAAAGGCCGTTAAATATAAAGGAATTTTTACAGAATAGACCCCTTTAAATTGCTAAAACACCAACAAATAAATAAAAAACAGCTGTCAATGGTGATTGAACTCAGACGGAGGTGAGCGTTGATTGAAAATTTTGGAGCAATTCGGGTGGCGTCGTGCAAACAATGATTTTCAATTGGTGGGTTACTTGGGGTTAAAAGAGACAACATGCGCAGTGTGCAATGTTGCATCTTCGGTCTCTTTAATTTAAGTTTCCACCTTATCGAGACTGTGGCTTTCAAGGGCAAACACTTGGCATAAAAAATCGAGAAATGATATTTAAGACTTGAATTTTCCGGTTTGTGTTACTAATGCTAAATAACGTACAGAAACATTGCTAGTCCTGGTTTTTAAGAACCGATCCTTGTCGCTTTTAGTTTAGAAAAAATATTAAACTACTTTTTCTCTTAAGCCTGTCTATGTAAACATATTTGGTCCTTTCTTTCAATGGACGTTCAAATTTTTTTAAATAATTTAACATTTAAGAGTGAAAATATTTATGGTTTCATAGATGTTAGACATCCATATAGACTGATTCCACTTTGTTGGAATTAATAAAATAAGCCCCATGAGAAAGGCATTGGATTTTAGTAACATTGATATGTCGTGCGAGCCATTTTCGAACATTACGGTAATGTTCTATTTCCTAAAATCCCTCTCTGCCTTATTTTGGTCACCACTTTGTCCGATTACCAATACTAATTAACTCCCTGAAACCGACCCTAATGGGACGATTCTGGCCACTGTCGATTAGTCTGAAATGTACTAGAACACAGTAGAATGTTTAATGATACTAAATTGCAACTTATGGCGAAGGTGCCATATTATCAAGGAAATTGGTGAAAACATCGAACTCTTCGCCTTTTAGGTAGGTAGAGAGTTCATAGACATAATTAAATTTGTTGAGTAAAGTTGAATTTTCCAGATATGTAGTGCTTATATATAAATTGTTATTTGAGTATATAAATTATTTAAATATATTGTGTAAATTATTGAATATAAGTGTACAAATTAATTTAATAAATAAACTGTATTAAAATAAAGAAACGTGACAGATATTTGGCGTACCTATTTAGGCTAAACGGAAAATTCTGAAAATCAATATTGTTCTATGTTAGAAGAAATTATCCAAAAAAATAAAAACCGCAAGTCGATCAGATCTTTCGTTTTAGAGTTATCGTGCATACGTACACACCTCAGGCAACCAGACGATTTTTTTTGCATTTTCAAGAGAAACGTTAAGAATAGTAATTTTTCTACACCCACATGGATATTAGCTTATCTACGTAAGTACAGATTACAAACCGAAAAAGTATGCTATTGCGTTCAACTGAACGAATATATTTCATATCCATTCTAGGTAGCGAGAACACTGAAAAAAAAATGAAATCTACTAATCATAGTTCATATTCTAGTCGTCCAACCACTATTATTTTTAAAATTTTAAATAAAGTGACAATTCTGTCAAACTAATTGTCAGTATATTTTTTAGTTATTGAGAAAATATACATTTCTATTTTTATTTTGTCCACATTTAGAAATAAATTTTAGTTTTAATCAAACTGAGCATATGAAAATAATTTAATTACGAGTATTACAACTAAAATCGTGAGGCCAGGGTTCAAATTTAGGCTGAGGACTAATTAAAGTAAATCTTTTTTTTATGTTTATTTTATTAGTTAAGGTCACAAATTATTTTAAAATTAGTTATTTTGTTTTAATAACCTAAAATAATTTTTTAAATTTGCAGATTTTTGTTAGTGGTTCGTAGAAAAAATATACTGTACAACTCGAGTGGATTGTCCATGTCCAGTATTGTTTCACAAACTATTATTATTTAAATAATGAATTTTGTGAACCTATAACAACCATTTATTTTTTAATAACGCCATAAATATCAACTTACTTACGAATTTTATATACAAAATTATATTTTTTACAGATTAATTGAGTTGGAATAGCTCCACTTATTATAAATTATAT